AACCAGTGGCATATCTCACAACAACCCCCTGATCAAGCTGTGAACTTACGTCACATGGCAATATATGCCAAGGTGAAATATGAACTATCTGTTACACAGGACGACATCCTCATAAGAAGAAACCTGCTCGTCCTACCAGAGAATCTTCAATCGAAGGCTATTGAGTTAGCACACGCAGGTCTTCAAGGAGCTACAAAGACAAAATCGTTGTTGCGTACCAAAGTCTGGTTTCCGTACCTTAATGAACAGGTAGAACACAAAGTTAAAACGTGTATTCCCTGCCAGGCAACCACAACAAACCCTCCCCGTGACCCCATCAAGATGAGTGAGCTACCACCCGCCCCATGGACAAACCTATCCGATTTCTCTGGACCCTACCCATCCAATGAGTATGTCCTTGTTGTAAAAGATGACTACTCGAGATATCTGGACATTGCTTTAACCACAAGAACGTCATCAAGAGCAGTTATACCGAAAATGGACAGAATGTTCAGCTCTTTTGGAACACCCCGCAATCTGAAAAGCGACAATGGCCCACCCTTCGACAGTCATGAATTCGCCAAATTTATGACTCACAATGGAATCAACCACCACAGAGTTACACCACTCTGGCCTGAAAGTAATGGCAGCGTAGAATCAATCATGAAAAACATCAACAAAGTAGCCCAGGCAGTAATCATAGAAGGCCAAAACTGGAAATAGCAAATATTTAGATGGCTACGCAACCATAATGCAACACCCCATTCTACCACCGGCATATCCCCCTATGAAGCTATGTTCAATCGCTAAATGTACATAGGCATCCCTGACCTTGGACCTACCCCAAACCCAGAGATTGACCACCCTCTCCGCACTGCAGATCAAAAACAAAAAGCTGCAATGAAAACAAATGCAGAGAATCACCGGTCAATAAGAAAACATACCATCAAAGTTGGCGACAAGGTACTTTGCAAGGACACCAAGAAAGGCAAACTGATATCGAAATTCATCCCTAAACCTATGACTGTTACCAAAGTCAGAGGAAGCACCATCACGGCTAGAAATGACGACATCACACGAACAAGGAATTCGTCATTCTTCAAACCCCTGCAGAATCCTGACCCAACACCAGCACCCCCCAGACCACCCCAGCCTCAGCGTTATCAGGAATACCACCCCAATATCCCATTAAGAAATGAGGAGGATGAAATACCTGAACAACATCAAAGATATCCCGTAAGGCACAACCACGGTGTACCCCCTCATAGGCTCTGAAGCTGAAACACAATGAACTTTAGTTTGACCCAGTTCCATGAATGAAATCTGAAATACTATGGAATGTTTACAAACATTGACTTTTACTATGGAATGTTTATAAACAGACACTTGACCACAGAGTAACCCTCATTATCATAAGTCATGAACTCTTGAGATTATTATCACATCAGCTGATCTACCAGAAACTATCAATTGTTATCATGGTTATAGTGCAAATCAGTAAAGTGAATTACCATAATCTTTATGTACAATACTGTTTATGTTACTGCTATATCATAACTTAGTACCCCACACACAATTTTGTCGCCTACTTTGATGTGTTGTAGAAAAATATCCAATAAGAGTTTTCTCATGAAATTTGGCATACATTAAATTGAAACAATTTGTGACACTCAAATTTTTTTGTTTAGGGTAATATGACTTCACCACAATTTGACTTCGGTTTCTAAATTGCTACGCATTTACAGATTTGATCTAAATTAAGCTAAATTTTGAAACAATTTGTAACAAATTGATTACAAAAAAAATTGAATATTCTGGTCAATCCTATCCTATTAAACACCATTATAATCCATTGGTAAAAGAAAAACTGAACCAAGCAGGAGTGACTGTTATGATGTTACAATGTTATGATGTTATCCCTGAAAGTTCACATGTTAGATCCATGTGAATCATTTCCAACAAAAGGTAAGCCGTCGGTGGTCACCTGTGAGGTATTGGGCGAATATGGCCTCCCGATCGTGGGCCAACGAAAAATTGAGTGCAAGCTCACTGTTAATAATGCCTTAATTGACAAAATACAACTATTTTCTTCAGATTTTATGAGATGCGAGCTACTTGAAAAGATTTTTTTAATCGAGTGAGATAGAACGAAATGCTGTAGTGGTAGGATGTGATAGAAATCCAAGCAGGGATGTGTTTCAGTGCCCTGATAAACCTTTTTAGACTTAAAGCCAACAAATCATATGATACATGCACCTGTCCATGTATTGAAAGTATTAAAAGGGGTCTTCACTCTTCAAAAAATATTAAAACCACACTTACAATATTCCTGTTTAGGAGTTAAACATCTCCAACACATAGTAACAATAGAGAGGTTAAGCTAGACGTATAAATGCAAACCGTGAACCTGAACGTGTAAGTCCACGCTCAAGTACACGTTTAAGAAAATTTTCAGTTAAGCTACACGTCTGAAACCATGTCAGTAGACGTTGTGCTATATTTATGTGGTGACTGTGTCTAAAGGTCATGTCTCTATGGTGTAATGGATAGCACTTCGGACTCGTATCCGTTAGGCCTGGGTTCGAATCTAGTTGCACTTAAACATTTTTTTTTACATTAGTGCACATTTCCATTATGATTTCCCCATGAAAAAATGAATCATTTTAGGGGTAACATAAGGAATACAATGTCACATAATACTTTGGAAAATATTTAAGCATTTGGACCCACATGGGCTGAGGTTGAAGTTCAGCAAGGGTATATTGACTTGACATTGGATGTGTTCTATCGACTTACACGTGGATACCAACAGGTTCAAACACCAAGTCATTGGTTTCTATTGATTTTCACAAATATACCTAAAATACACTATGACCTGAATCGATTGCAAATTAAATAAATGATTTCACAATATGACACAAATGGTATATCACATCAGATGTGAAAATATAAAGTTTGCAATCGATTCAGATTATACTTCAAATTAAAAGATTATACATATTTTCATCAATATGAAATTCAACATATTTTCCTACAAAAAGGCTATAGAAAAATGCTTCAAAAGCAACTTTTACACTTATGAAATCCCTTACAACTTTGTAAATTCAAAGATTATACTGTTATGTTTCATTAATTAATAACATATTTGGATAAGATGAAGGGATGTGTAGGATGCAAATGGATTTTGACAGACACAAAAAGACTTCTGGGTTTGGCATCACTACCCCTGTACACTTTATGATAGAATATTGGCCCAAATAAGAGCCCATTCATCAATACAGTGCTGAATATAGGTCAACAAGATACTAGTGTACATATAATTGTAATACTAAAAGCAGTATATTTATTTTGAAAAATTAGATGAATTTATTTTTGTTCATGGGGAGATCATAATGGAGAGCGCACTAGATCCTTTCTTGCCCTGGTTGTCATTTCATTTCGTTTAGTATACAAATTGTACTAAGCCCGGGTATCAAATTGGCCATGCCTATTTATATTGTACGGAATGAACAAACGATCACATTTGAAGTTGTCATTTACCCATTAAAATATATTCTTATTTCCAATTAAGGATTGGGGTTTACCAATATAACAAGCAAGATTGTCTGTATCAAATATGGGCTCCCGGGCCATACTAGAACATAGCTTAAATCAATCACGTAATGAGCGACGTGTAATAACTCATCTACACGTAAAAACCTGTAACTTTCACGCTTACCTGTAGAAGGTAGACTAATCTGACGTCATTTTCCTGCGCGCGCATAGAAGTACACGTTCATGCTTTGTTGAATACGCGTCTGTAAATTGCACGAATATGATAATCTCATGTAAAAACCTGTAAACTTCACGCTGGCCCACAGGAAATAAACAAATCTGACTTCATTTATCTGCGCGCGCATTGAAGTTCACGTTCAAGTTTTGTTAAATACGTGTAGCTTAACCTCTCTATTATCTTAAGAGAACAGATAAACCGTATGTAATGCAATAAGTTTGTAATCAAAATGTAATTAAAATGATTTAAACTCTCTTTAAAACTGCAAAACTGGAAATTTTCGTCGAATTTTGTTAAAACATGAATATTTTAAAATTGCTTGTTTTTCGTCAATATTACTTAAATTTCCAAATAAAAAAATTTGAGTGTCACAAAATGTTTCAAGTTTAAGTATGCCTCTTTTTGGATATTTTTCTACAATTCATAAAAGTAGGCGACAAAATTATGTGTGGGGTACTATATTATCTCTATATCATAAGTTCAAAACGTGTATGTGTATTTTCTAATCTAAACAAAAGGAGGGATGTAATGACCTCATTTATATAATACCATATGTTGTACTAACTGACCACTGACCACATGTACCCATATGTATCATCTTACCAGGAGACATCCTGGTTCATCAGTTATACGAATATACACCATGAGTGAACACACTACATCTTGTGCTTGTCATTATCATATTCTATAGACTCACATCAATAACCAATAACCAATCAATATCTACTGATCTATCAGATCATTACAATGGGTAAAAGACATTGCACCTTTTCCTTTAATATGTAATATGTATGTGTCTTAAAATCGATTTAACAGATTCATCAACGTTGAACAAGTGGTAATTAAGTTCTTATTGTTTTGAATCCAAGTGCAATTTCAATTCATATTTTGTTTCAGATAAATTCAGAGCTGCAACACTATGTGGAAAACAAACAATCCATACTCTATCAATGTATACCCAGGAAATGTAAGAGAGTAACCCAGAGTAGAAACAATGAACTTTACTTAATCAACATGCCAGCTCATGGTGACAAAGAAGTCGCCTATCACGATTCACGACATTGCCCTTTAGTAAATATCATTGTCGTGAAATATCAACTGCATGTTATTGTTTCTAATAAAAACCTGGTACAACATAGCTTTTACTTCGTATTATATTGTTGTCGACAATTGATCAAGACTAACCAAACCTCAAACTCAGTCGCCAGTAAAGAATTACATCAGATTCAACACAAGTAGCAGTTAGAAGATGAGGGTTAGCATCACTTGCAGTTTGGTTATTTTGGCTGTATGTTACTTTGCTACGTACTCCATTGGTGAGGAGTGCTGTTCTAGATGCTGCAATCAGTGTCAGGTAGGTAGACTGTCAATTAAACATACAAAACTTCGAATTACTCCAAACTTGGCAGTAATCAGTGTCAGGTAGGTAGACGTTCATCAACTAAACAGACCTTTTGAATTAAATTGCTCAAATCATTACATTGACTCGTTTTGTAAATCCAGAAAACACACCTCATGTTAACATTGACATAGGGAAATATTCTTTGAACGGTTTTTGTATCATCATGGCTCCTGTCATGTTCATGTATATTTCAGGCCGGTTGTAACTCAATGGCAGATAAATCCCCTGTGAAGACTACATATATAAGATGGGGAAGAACATCATGCCCAGATGGAGCAGCCTTTGTTTATACAGGTTAGCTCTTCGCTTGACTCCAGTTCAGGTTCATTCATATTGCATTTGGTTTCAAATAAAACATTTGATCGACATTCCCATTCTGTCCCAACATCTCTTCAATCTAAAGTAGCTATCACACTAGGCTTTATGGGCTCACCGTTCGCCATCGTGTGATTAATTTCGGCCACCATTTTTTAACTTGAAAACAGCAACTCCACGGATTAGCAAATCCCAACGAACAGAACATGTTTTGATAAATAGTGGCCATCTTGAAAATTTGCTCTTGAACAGTGCTCCCTTGTCCCTAGGTATTAGTATATAAAATTTGAACAAAATCCATTCACTGGTTTTTGAAATACTTTTTTGAAATTTAGCTTTCATCCTGAAAATTTATTCTTAAGCACAGTTCCTTTATCCCTATGCATCAGTTACAGTATATAGAATTTGAACCAAATCCACCCACTGGTATTTGAGTTATCAAAGATGGTGGCACTTTTAAATTCAGTTGTCATCTTTAAAATTTATTTTCAAGCAGAGCTCCCTTATCCCTAGCCATTAGTTTATAAAATTTGAACCAAAAACTGTCAACTCGTATTTAAGTTACGAGAGATGACGTTTTTTTATGAAAATGGCAGCCATTTTGAAATAACGTTTTCATCTTGAAAATTTATTCTTGCTCATTTATCTCTAGGCATTAGCATATAAAATGTGAACCAAATGAGAAAAACGAAAGTTGTGATTTTTAATAAATCAGGAAAAATACTCAAGCGCAGTTATTTTAGATTTGGAATTATAAACATAGAAAAAGTAAATGAATATAAATATTTGGGTTTTATTTCAAAAAGCTCTGGGAGTTTGAAATATGGAAACTCGGAATTAAACAAGAAGGCATTCAAAGTTATTTTTATGATGAGACAAAATATTTGAGTTTTCAACTATCAATGTAGATTTACATAAAAAAATGTTGACATGTGTGCTAAACCTGTATTATAATACGGAAGTGGATTTTGGTCTATGTTTCACTAGAAAGATTAGTCAAGGAGACCTCAAATTAGAGAGCGGTTATGAAGACTTTATTCCTTAAAAAATACATAATACATTTTGCAAATTCCTTTTAGGGACTAATAAATATATACGTCAAATTTCATTAAGCTATAGATTCACTTAATATATATATTCCATAAATTATTGGTTGAAGTGTGTGCATCAAACAAACGCAGCAGATAGTTTAATAAATATATCATTTCGGCATAAGAATAACATATTTGTCAAACATATGGAATGCATATTAAACAGGATCTTAAGAGGTTCTGGACAAATCATTTGATTCTGGACTTGTCATATTTTTTTTTCAACGAAATCACATCCAAGGGTTGAATTTTTATTAGCTATTTAGAGAGTGAGTCCTGCCTAGTATTAATTTCAATAAAAAAAGTTAAAATAGAACCCTATTTGAGAGTCAATCTAATACTTACATTACATTGATAAATTAAGGCAAATCCTGAAATATTTTTAAAGTGCATTTTTTTATGAAATATTATCCAGCAAGTATTTAGATGAAACGGTCTTATTTAAATACAAATCATAACACGATGATATTTTTCATTAAACATTTTTCAATGAAATTCAATTGAAGGGTCAAGATAAAACGAGCTAATTTAGGTGAAAACCCTTACATGATGATGTGTTCTTTCATAAAATTCCATCAAGGGGTGAAGATAAAATTATCGAATTTAAGTGATTAAGGATCACGAGGATATGTTTTCTTTGATATTTTCTATGAAATCCCATCCAATGGTCAAGGTAAAATTTTGATTTTGATTTGGTATTAGGTCACGTCTTCGAAAGATCCATATAAGGCCCATAGAACCATATAGGAACGTCATTTTGAATGTCACGTGATAGATCCATATAAGGCTTTTAGAACCATGTATGGAAAGATGAGGGGAAGCCCCTGACACCTGTTTCACGATTTTATCCGAACGTTGTTCGGATCATTTCGGTTTTTATGCACTTCATTATTGTACCGAAGTTTGCCGATTCGATTCGTCGTATTTCGGAATCCTGGTGACAATTTTATACTCCATTGGAGTATTTTTGACCTACTTCTTATGACGGAAATTCCCGAACCTTGTTCGGATTAATCCGGATTTTCTGACCTACTTTATCTACCGAGATTTCACGAGTTAACATTCGTCTCATTCCGGAATCCTGGTGACAATTTTATACTCCATTGGAGTATTTTTGATCTACTTTTTCTGGATTTTGCCCTACTTATTATATCTTGACAACAAGCAAATCAAAAAGTTCGACATGAACGGGTCTCGATCAACTAACCTAGACAATGGAAGCCAGGCACGCTAACCATGAGACCAACGAGCTACCGATATGAAAGAACAAAAGTATTATATATTTATACCGAGCGTCAATTCAAAATGATCCTCACTTAAATACGACTCGTCAGTTGTATCCAGAATAGTAGAACGCCTATGGCGCTAGTGAATAACCAAGTCCCAGGTGAGTGGTTCGTATCCCTCCGTGATATACTATTTTTGTTTTATTAAATACGACAGAAAGGAGCAAGGTGTAGGTTGAAAACAAGACGTTAGTTTGTTTCAAAACAGTTTGGAAACATTAATCTCTGATAATTTAAGGTTTTCCACTCCTGAAGGGCCTCTAGATCTATGAAATTCAATAATCCACTCAGTAAAAATACGATTTCTCTGCAACCTGATGTCCAATCAAGATCATTCAAATATATATGTGTTCCTGACACGTTTGGGCGTCCGGGAATAAAATTGCTTGTGAAAACTGGCTTTGTATAAAAAACCTCCTACCTCATACCCACCTACCCACGTACGTGGGACATAATACAGTCTTTGAAGGGTTCAATTTTAAAGATCTTAGTCTATTAAATCTAAATTTATGATGAATTATAGAAGCATTTGTAACGATCCTTGATAGCAAGTTGCTACTACATCCCAGCTGGGTTCGATTCCCACTCGGAGCATCGAATTTAGCACACTTTCTTTCAATTTCTTTTTCTGGCTTGTTGGACCTATGGTCGCGGTCGTTAGTTATTTATTCCCCCGGGGCGCCCTCTGATCATTACACATTAAAATGCATCCACATGCCTTTATTCATGGATCTGTCATCTGTCTAGTCATAAAACAAAGCCGGAATTGTAGAAATGTTAATACTTTGAGCTATTTTGAGATTTAATAATCATTAAAATTGAACCCTTCAATGACTGTATCATGTTCCACGTAGGTGGGTATGAGGTAGGAGGTTTTTTATGCAAAGCCGTGAAAACTATATACAAAAGTGTTCCAGAGACCCTTATCTACTTGGCTAAGGTTTTATTTGAAGATACATTGCCTTATTAAGCAGGTAGAGGGGCATACAGAACACGGAAGCAAATGCTATGTTGAAAATTTTCTATATTTCTATTTGAACCTGTGTTTACATGTCACGTAGGCCAGTGTTTTATATGGGGATTATATCACTCTACTATACCTTGCATTTGGTGTTCATGAGCAACTCATTTGGCTTATTAGTAATGATTATGTATTTGTTTTTATTTGTCTGTTCCTTATGAATGGTTTATCGGTTGAAAATTAGATGCTAGTAAGGCACTTTCAAAAATATATTAAACAATTCAATTAGACAAACAAAGTATCATATGCATTTCTAGGTGTTAGGTATAGTAGTGTGTATATGTACTTTACTTGTTTACATGAACGTAAATCATTACATGAAATCTGCATTCTTCTGGGTTTAATCTGGGTTTGTATTGTCTTATTGGGGCTTTTCGACTTTAAAACAAACCCTACCTAAATGGATTGTGTATCGGGAACGTTTTTGTAAATAGTTATTATAAACAATTCTGAAAGAATATCACATATTTTTGTCTTCCCGATGTCAGTCATGAATTACGTCAATTTCTCGTGCAAACATTGGGTAGACGTTGTCATAACCGGATGCCCGAACGTGTCAGGAACATATAGATACTCGAATGATGTTGATTGAACATCAGGGTGCAGAGAAATCGTAATTTTACTGAGTGGCTTCACGAAAAAATAAGCAGCACTTTAGGCCACCTTAAATACAACTCGTCAGTTGTATCCAGTTGGAATCCCAGCGTAATTTTTTTTAATTATATGGTTGTGCTTTGATTTTACGCTGAAAACATTTACAACTACGTCAACTTTATATTAAAACATTTATTATCTTTTCAGTTGTATTAAAATGTAAAATATGATATATGTCAGCTTATTGCTTTCTGGAGAACAGTCAATGTTTAAATTTGGTACAATGAATCGGACACTCATGTAAATCGACATGGTTATAACATTGAACTCAATGCAGTAAATTGGTTATTTCTTTGAATCACAGTGGGATTGGTTTTATTTTATATGATTGCCAACTCTGGCGTTTTTTTGTGAATGCTTTTGACCGCTGTAAATGTGAAACTGATACAGTATTATTCGATTGTTTTATGTCTTGGTCACATTTGCTCCGATTTTCACTACGGCGCCCGGCCGATTGAGTATTGTGTTCAGAAATGTATTCGGGCATTACACAGCGGTATTTCGAACATACTATTGTTGCTTAAGCTACGTTCACACCAACGGCGCTTTGATGGCGCTTTAAAGCGGCTTGTAAAGCGGCACCAAAGCGTAGCAAAGCTTGATTAAAGCGTCGGGGTCGTAATAAGTCGTAGAAAAGCTCGGGAGTAAAGCGGGATATTCGGTAAGAGCGCTAAAAAATTTAAACTGTTTAAGCGTTCGCACCAACGGCGCTTTGATGGCGCTTTAAAGCGGCTTTTAAAGCGGCACCAAAGCGTAACAAAGCTTGATTAAAGCGTCGGGGTCGTAATAGGTCGTAGAAAAGTTCGGAGTAATGCGGGATATTCGGCAAGAGCGCCAAAAAATGTTAAACTGTTTAAAAATTTTGGGCGTTCTGTTACGAATTGATTAAAGCGCCGAGAGCGTATCAAAGCTTAAAAAACCGTAACA